ATTCCCTTAGTCCTTCCTTAGTCTTCCTGAAATTGTCAGATTATGAGGGAATAAAAGCATTTTATTAAAAACTTAATAAAAAATATGTTTTTTATCACGTATCTAAGGAAATAGCAGTATAACCTTGTTCATGCACAAACAGTGGCATGTTACATTATTAATTTGGGTGTCTCCTCTTGCCAGAAAGCTCTAAATTGCATTTTGAGTGCGGTTTTTGACTTTTTTAAAATTGCAACCCATAAATAAAGCTGATACTGTTTAGACTTTTAATTATTTCAAACTGTATTACAGCAGCACAATGCACAATGCAACGTAAATTGCAAAAATGCACTTGGAATCTGTCCAAGCCCTACTTTGTCAGGCATTTTCTTTTACTGTAAAGGACATAAAAACTCCCTTTCTTTTAACAGAGCGTTTCATAATTTCTAACTACGAAAATTATTTAAACTGCGACACTTATCATTCAACTAGAGCTCGAAATATCACAAATTTACAGCTTGTCCAAAGTCATTCATTATTAATAGTATTAGTAATATCTTCGGCAAAGGCTTTGATGCAAAAATATTTCTGATAAAGGTAGGTTGTGTACTTTTGTCCAACTGAGCAATCTTGCTTTCATAAAATATACCAACTTTTTAATGACTGATGATTAACATGCTGTAATACACAGTTTAAATTTAAAAGCTCAAATGCTGTACATGAGAGGTTAAGCTTTATTGGCTCCTCCTGGCAGTTTTACAAGGTGATGCTGGATACTTTCCGGCATGATGTCAAATGACGCGATTAACCCCGTGATACTGCGTGATACTATGACACGCCCACTGGGGTATACCGCGAAATACCCCACCCATTTTGAATGGCTGCATTTGTAGATACCTGATTTATAAAACTGCTGTACTAGCCACCCTCATTTACAGCAGTGAGACTTGTACCATATACCCACTTGTTGTACAGTAATTACATTATTCTCCATGATCAAAGCATTACTCTTTAGAATAAACTCTGATGCAGCAGTTCCAATGCCAGATTCTCTTTTACCATCTTTTCATTGGTCAATTTTCAAAAGGCAGCCAGAGAAAAAGTACAGAGATTCCCAAGGTTGCTCTAAAGTATGAAGGTATCAACAAAATGACTGGGAGGCATGACACCACTTGGTTCATCAGGGTGTGTGCACTACCTCATGATCCAAATATTTAATACCAAGACAGAACCTCAGGAAGGACAAGGACACTAACTGGGGGCTGTAAATCCCACTCCCCCATGGAACAATATGCACCAGTGATGAAGAATGTGAGCATCCAGAATTGAAGTCCTCAAACTGTCTGCTAAATCTATCCCCAAACTATCCACTATCCTCAAATTAACTGTATTAATATGGACCACATCTCCAATCATATAACTTACTCTGTTTAGAAATAAAGGAAGTGAAGGATCAAAAAGGCACACATTAAGAGATTGTGCTAACTTGTCCAAAAACAAATTAGAGTTAGACCACCAATGGTGGTCCTAGCTGCACAGCCAGGTCAGAGCATATGCAGTGCTCACATTGAATCATGGACCATAGTCTCTGTCAGACTAACAGGAGGCAGCCAGGGACATCCAGCCGCACAGATCCCACCCATCAGCAGCAATCTCTGATGTCAGACAGCAGGGTAGTCAGCATGTAGGAGGTGAATACAGCAGCAATGCACAGCAGCAGGTAGAGACCCTATTCAGGAATTCAGAAAGGAGGGCAGGTAAGCAAGTAAGCATGAAAGAAGTAAACACAAACAGGGATACAGTTCAAAGTTCAAGAGGCACAGAAAACCTACAATCCACAGAATAGTGAAACACTTCAGTAAATAGTCAGCAGCAGGCAGAGCAAATTTAATATAAGTCAAAAAGTTTAAAATATCAATAACACAAAAAATGTTTTCTTTAGTATTTAATTTTTAATTTACATCAACCACATTGTTTTGGTTTTCTGTTTGTCTATCCAAGCCTGTTGTCCTGAAAAAATACCTTTTCAGGGGTATACTAAAATATCTTTATTTACTTTTAACGTGCCTTTTTTAGGTGTTTGCATAATTTCCTATTTTGTTATTAAATAAACTGTGATGTAATTGCTACAGTAACAGTATTTTATATCCTTTAATGCTTCAATAATTGCTCTTGTATTCTTAAGTTGCAAAGAATTACAAATTTATGTACTGTATCTAAAATCTAAAGACCATACATAGTGCCTTACTCTGTGAAGTCTATTGACATAGTAATTCTTTATTTAATTAAAAAGTTCTTTAAATAAATGTACAAGATATAATCTCTGTGATCTCTCTATAATAGACCTTAATGTCACAGAGGCAACTATTGCCTTCAATACACTTGGTTTCTATTGTCAGCACCTTCACCAGCTGCAGTGATCTAATTTCAATGTCACCTTGATTATGTGCACAATAGGCCCACTGTCTAAATTTTTATGTTCCACATTATGGCTACACATCACCCATGATCTGCACAGAATCTCAAGTGCATTTGCCATTCAAAGTAGCTCATTACCATGCTGTTGATTCATATATCATCTATTTTTTCAATTTTTTGGGGGGTGGGGGGGTGTTATTTTATACCCTGCATTCAATAATCAAAGAACTACCTATTCACTGAGAAGAATTTAACATTTGCTGTTCTTAAGAATATCTATGGTACTTTCATCTTCTTTAAAAATCTATTTTGCTTTTTTTACCTCATTTGAAAAAGGATTGAGGCTATATTTGTCATGAACAGCTCTCTGCTTGCTTTGTGCTCCTTTTCTTCTTTTCATTTGTCACTTTTTCATCAAAGACAGTCCTGTTAATGCTCTAATTAGTCCTCATCATTCCCTCCTTCTATGAACCTTTATTATGAGTAGATTTTATAATGAGATGAATGCTGAGGTTTACCTGGGTGAATCAGGGTAAATCTTGTTTGTATTTATGTTACAGACACAATTATGTTTTCTAATGAAAGGCTGTTAATGTAAGATCTGTTAATGTAAGAATTTGTCAATCATCAAAAGGCCACTTATTCATGGTACAGGTAATGGTAACCTGGACCCTATCCTAGAAGCATAGAGCATAAGGCAGAGCTACAAACTGTAGGGCAAACACATATACACTATTTAGAAAAATCAATACAGCATGTTTTTGAAAGATGGGGGAACACCAGATTACCTGGAGAAAACTGATATGAAAGAAGGCAGAAAATGCAAACTTCGGACCAACAAAGTTTAACCTTTATACTTAAATTGCTGTTCTTATATTGCATGTATATGTTTTTTTTTTTCTAATGCTAAGACAAAAGAAGCTACAAATAGTAATAATTATTGTACAAGAGTAATTGGGAAGGTGGCTCAAGTACCTGCTGCTGACACTGCTGTTGTACCGTTAAGCTATTTGAGGTGGCATTTGAGACCAACAACCTGTCAGTTAGCCCAAAGTCCAAAGGCATACACACTACACTATGCCACCCTCTCAATTACTGTTGTAATAGCTTATAAATTAAAAAAAAGTAATTTCAGTGGTGTTTAAATATAGGGATATTTCATGAATCAAATGTTTGAATCTTAAAGGGAAAACAACTAGACACTGTAAATAAAAACATGCAAAATATTATTCCATTATTCCCAGGGCTCTTCCTTTGTCATACAAGAATTATAAGTATTTGTAGATTTTGTAGCATTTGCCCCAGCATTTTTAAAAAATTAAAATTAAAATGAAAAAAAAAATAGTATACAATATAAGAACAGCAATTTAAGCATAAAGGCTAAACTTTGAGAAAACAGGTCACCATAACCCAGTTGCAAGATGCAATAAAATATTTAACATAATTTACATGCTGGAACTGTTGTAATTTTATCTTGTAACTTTAGCTTTTATCTTAGATATCTTTTATCTTTATAAATAACTTTTATCTTAGAAGAGGTGAGTAAAAGAAAGAAACATAAACAATAAAAAGATAATAAAGAGGAGGGTGTGGAATGACTTCCAAAGTATTCTTATCCTGATCAATATTTTAAATTTGGTTAAAGCTAGCCAAACATTGTAAAAGAAATGGCTTTGAAATCAAAGAAGATTAGCAATATGAACTAATTTTAAGGACTTTTCTGGTATGCATAGTAAAGTTCTCCTTTGTGACCAAAACATAGAAGATTTTTTTTTTCACCTGGCAAAAAAAACAACCTAGCTGTATATTAAAACTTCAATTTTTTATGACATTTCATATTATAACATCTTTTAATCAATGAAATATATGCAAAAATTGCCTTATAAATATTACTCCCTCATTAGATTACAAAGTAATGTTTTTATAAGTTAAAAGCTATAAATAATAATATTATTTTTAACTTAATAAAGTTAAAGAGTACTTATTTTAACCTTTTTTTCAATTAAGAGTTTAAAACAATAATGGTGTCAACTGCATTTATTCATCTATCTGGGTGAATAACATTTTAGCTTTCGTGTGAATGTAAAGAAATGAGCAAAAAACACATCTTCTAATAGCAATATTTTTAAAGATTTGCCCTTGACAAACTATAACAAATGGCATTCCAGAAGCAACATGAATCACAATGATAATAAATGCATTGTTAATGAGATCTGTTAGGTATGTCTCATCCCACCTGTCCCTTTTTTACACTGTGATTATTTAAAATCATAGGGAATTTAATTCCCTATGATTAGTTAGGGAATAATGAACATTAATATATTAATGTTAATATATTTCTTGATTTGAAGTGGTCAATTTTTAGTTTTGAATTGGTCTTCCATGATGTTCTTTTTCAAAAGCCCCATTATCCAGTTATGATTTTGCACTCCTATAGTAAAATGTATGAGTTGTCGTTCTTAGAAACCTGATAACTAGATGCAGCAACTGTTGTGGCACAAGTTGTACAGTATATCAAAAGTAATTAATGTCAATTTCCCAGTGGTATGTAGTGTTTAACACATATCCTCAATGTTAATGAATGTGATAACAGGAGACACAGCTATTAGTAATTGCTTTTTATTCATAGTCTTCATTTTCCAGATAGATCACATTAAACACAGCCATTAGACAATAGCGGTTGAGATAATCCATACAATGTATGTCTCTTTTCTTTTCACCAGCTGCCTGGTGTAGCTTAGAGCCCTATGGGGTGACAGGGGCTGATAAATGTTGAACACCAGCCCATGGACCAATAGGGGCTGGAAGAGTCAGGACCTCAATCAGGTTTCATTCAATTACACTCCAAATCAACAAACTTTGATAGCCGAAATTCCCTTCTGACTAATGCACCAATTAATCCTGCCTGATGCCAAAAGAATGTAATTAGACAATAATGAGTAGGTGTACATTATGCTAGATTTCAAACTACTTGTTGACCTCAGCAAGTTATACTCCATTAGACAACAAACAGCTTGAAAGTCAGCAATAATAAAGCATGTCACACATATGCATAGAAACACAGTTAGTTTTCAGAGGACTAATTCTGATTACAGGCCTACAGGACATAAGCAAAGTCTAAAAAGTTTTGGTCATTTGTTCTGATTAACATAACTCTCAATGTTTGAATGCCAACTTTTATTTTTAAAGTCACTGTAAAAACCCTGTGAATAATATTATTCATTGTTGACATTGAACAATTGCAGTATGCCCCTATTCTCCCTGTGGGTAAACTGTGGGCAAACTGCTCATTCCACAGTAAATGAATTAGATGGGCATTTTGCCCACTATTTGCCAACAAGGAAAATCACTTGCAATGACAGACATGCATAAAAAATGTCAAAGAGAGAAATTTTGCTTAAAAAACAGTCTTTCTTGATTCTGGTTCTAGCTTGTTTTCTTAGGTTTTTATTTGTTAAAACAGAAGAATTTAGTTTTGGTCTGATGATAGAAAAAAAGAAAGAAAACTGTCAGACATAAGTCCTCGTTTAGCAGAGACGTGATCATAAGCACTCACCACACAGTCTGTTTCCTTTTTGTTGTTGTTTCTGAGCCGTTCTCAGTAACATATAGAGCATGTCAGGCCTGTCAAACCTGTCTGGCTTTTGTAAAATCTCATTTAGTAATGAGCACAAAGTATCCTCTTTCCAAAATGCATCTCTAGTAGTTCAATACTACTACTACTATGTTGGAAAAACAAGTTGCAACGTGTTCCTTTGAGTTTTATATATAAAATTAGTCAGAGAATGCAATTCCCTGGCTGTTGGTATGGTGAAAAATTGGTTCTGAAAACTTTAAATATTAAAAGATTTTCAATTTGATACTTTCAATTCATTCAGAAACATTGTATGTTTTACTTTATCCTTAGCTCCCAGGCTTTGTGGAACAGGACTTAACGGAACTCAATCCTTCTAAGAATGGATGATTAAAATCAATAAAACTTTGGCAGTTTCAGGATCTCTATGCTAAGGATGTTGGTTCATTTTGACAAATGAATGGACAAGGCATGGCTAAACAATGTCTGACCCATATTCTTAAGCAATAGCCTATGGTTGCCCTTATGCCAGTGTAAGTGCAGCATTACTTTTCACATAACTTCATTTTTAGGCCAACATCTTTTTATAGATTCAATTTCCTCTTATCTCAGTATAGAAAAATCATCACTGCACTACTGTGTTGACAGCTTTCCATATGTTTCTCTTACATTTCTTTTAATATTGTAATCATTGTAATCATTTTTAAATTGTAGAAAGCTACGATCTGAATGTGTCTTGTTAAAAGCCTTAATTCACATTATAAGCCCTGAACATACATATTAAACCCTGCTTCTACTGCTACAACAGTGCTTTATTTTTTTTTAAAAAAGTAAAATGGAATTTCAGTTATCAAGTTTGGTTAGTCTTAGAGATTTCTGGTGAAAATAACAATGTAATACACACAGAAAACACAGATAATACATAAACTGCTCAAAAGGAACCTTTTTGGTCCTATAAAACAATAAAAAAAACTGTACTGCACATTCTCATGTGGACTGTTAAATGTCCTCAATAGATAAGAGCACTACAGTTATATTAAGATTTTATCTTTTATTTCTAATGTTAGTAAGGCAGCTTTTATTATTTTGTAATGAAACAATTCTGTAGTAAAAATGCCAAGTTTTTCTTTAAAAAAAATAACTACATATATATTCTAGCTGCCTTGGTAAAGATATTTCAGCTTAGGAAATGTAACATATGGTTGTTGCTTTTTTATTAGCTGGCTCATGAAGCTTTGAACAGTTTATGTATCCTAGTACTTTTTGACCAAATGATAAACAAGAGACTTTGCTCTGAGGCACTGCTACCCACTCCTGAGGGGAAAAGGGAGCAGACAAAAATGAAATTAAACTCATAGAGTTCGACAGCTACTAAGGCAACAGTTGCCAAATACAATATAAGCCCAAGTATATTGCAACACAACTATATATTAATTTTAATAAAATACACAATATAGCTCTTATACACTTAACAATTTGGCTCATATGCACAGAAATTGCAATAAATCAATAAAAATATGTAATTTGATGTAAACACATTAAATTCGATACACTTTCACATTAAAAGATATTGTGTATAGTGATAATGTGAAGGGACATTTCCTTTTAAGAGCCTTTGCAGTGTCCTCTGCTGTTCATAAATAAATATTTCACAATTAACTGCACTTTAGCATTTTAACGTTGTTTTTTTTTAAAAAAAATTATAAATATTCTGTTATTATCTGGACACTACCCATAAGTATATATATCTTTCACAGTAGAAGAAGAATGTCCCTAATATACAGGATTATGTGTGTCACAGGGGATGTTCGACAAGTGGACATTACTTTACATGAAAAGATTGGGAATTTATAAAGAATGAGGAGTTCACACAATGAGCAGGGTATATTGTACTGCTTCATCAATTTGGAATGTACTATGCAGCAGATAAATATAAGGGAGTACAGTTTACACAAGTGATTGCTGATGGAATGTGAAGATCTGCGAAAGTTTTCTCCCAGCCCTCCCCCCAACCCTCCAACTATAAAGATCTTCTTTTGCACTTCCACAATGATACAGTGAAATCCTTTGTAATTTGTCTGTTCTTCTCCTCAGTTAGACCAAGTGGGTACAGAGTCCACCTATTGGTTTCTATCTGATTGTCTTAACATTCTGTCACCCATCTTGTCAGTACAGATGTCTTCAGCTCTCCCCCACCTTCCCCAGCTGTGAATTGGTGATCCTTAAGAAGGACAAAACTGCAGTGAAAAGGTATGAGTCGGTGGGCACTTGAAATGCTTACTAGAAGCCAGAAGCAGCATCTTCAGTCACTTCAGGGATCCGTCTCAGGACACATCCCTTTAAAGCCACCTCCACTTTCTTAAGAAGATGCATTGCAATTGTCAGTGTGTATTTTATTCTTTGTTTCTTTTCTGTTGTCATCATTGTTGTTGTTTTTTTCACTTTCTCACCGATGCTGCTTCACTTCCCCGACAGTCCTGTAACAGCTTGTCAATTTCGCGTACAACTTGTTCAGCATCCATGCCCTCACGGTTTAATTCTGGATTGGACTGATCTAACTGCTCCAATACACAGTCCATCTCATTCGAATCTCGACTTACTCTTGAATGCACATCAGCAAGGACTTTAGCCATGGGATCAGACAGAAGGTATGGGGAGTCTTTCAATTGTTTATTTGGTGAAATGTACTGGTTGCTAGTTTCTGCGAAGTTGCCAGATTTACCTTCACAGCCTTCTATAAGTCCCTTTGTTGATGTGCATGCAGGAATACACATTTTGCTGGGGCTGTTTGAAGCAGAGGGCACCTCTTGCAATAAAGGGCTCAAAGCACGCTTGGCTTTTAAATAAGGTTTGACGTTGGCAACAAGGATGGTGTGATCTCTCTTCTCTTTCCCAAATGTGCAGAAAGTCTTTTTTCCATTGGGGTTTACAGTTTCATAAGTTTCTGTCTCCACTGTTGCTTCCATTCCTGCTGGTACAAAAAGGTTTGTGCGATAATCTGCGCTTTCTGCCTGGTTTGCTGTGGGGAACTGTGGCATCCAGCACCTGTCAGAATGTCCTAGTACTCGACACTCATCCGTGCAATTAACGCACTCTTCTTGCTCTGTGAAAAACAAACAGGGTTTCTCATTAGCTTTAAAAAATTCAAAACCACATAATTCTAACATATATTAGACTGGTGCTTAAAGGGTTAGCATGACCCATTGTGTCCTGTAATTAAAAACAAAAACAGAATCATTATGAATATAAAAAGACACACTCTCATGGGAATACAGGATACCAGCTGGCTGACTTTGTGTTTTCCATGCGTATGATCAAGGGATCATTGTGTTTACAAGGAGCTTAAAAATGACTTTTAAAAAATGTGAAAAACAAAAACTGTCCAATTTGGCAAAAGAGTGGAACTGTTTTCATAAATTTACATCACATGTCTTTGAAGCCCTCTAAACTCACATTCTCCTTATTTTACAACCAAGTGCATCATGCATTTCTATAATTGTGCTCCTTTTAATCTAAAATTCAATAGAAAGTACATTTCAGAAAATTTCTGACAATATGTCAAACAAGTAGAAGGCTTTAAAAAGACTTCTTTAAATATTTAAAAAGCAATAAAGAGTCTGAGGAGCTTCAGTACTTTGAGCATTAATATTCAAAAGACCCAGGTAGACAAGTAATTGGCTAAATAAAAGTTGTATTAACTGTCATTATACAGTAGGCTTCAAGAATATTAACAATACCACAAAATATGCTAAGTATAGACTTCTATTTATCAGGTAAAACTATTTCTACATGTCTAAAAAAGATCAGCTACAGTACCCTTTGATTCTACCTACTTTCAGGTAGACATATAATAATCATAAAAATAATAAAATAATATATATAAGTAGCTACTGGGGTCAAAGGGAGATCTGAGATGTGGTCATTTGTTTTATGAGGAAAAGGGCATTGCTTAAATATGAGCACTTAAGTTCAGTATAGTAAAAAAAGCCAAATCAATCTAAACAAATGAGTACTACAGAGACAAAAAAGGGAAAAATATTTGATTATGAATATGTGTTAATTTTATGCATTGGTACTGCATCATATATGTAAAGAATTCTATTATAAACCTTAAGATCTTCATTATTTTTTGTTTTTATAATCAAACAGCAATGTGCCTTTAATTATATGAAATTCAGCTAAGTGAAATTAATTAATGTGAATAATATAAGTGCAGCCTGTCTGTTTTTATGCCCCAAACAGTGCCACATGAATCAATATTTATCTTGCTGCATGCTTTAAATGGATCTGATTTTACTTTAATTGTTCCAATCAAAACTTGCTTTACTATGTACCAGTACCTGCTAAACTTCTACTACTATAATAACATATCTCTCTACTAAACTGTAACTATGTGGGTATGAAAGAGTAAGTTACACTTTCTTTTACAACTACTGATTTGGTGCTGTAACACAAAAAATAAAACAAATGCAACCCAATCATACATGGGGACAATTTGGAAGCCATGGTAAAGGCTGAGGAGGGAAATTTGACCTGGACACCGAGATAACTTCCTACTCTTATCGAGAAATGCCCAAAGATGAGGACTGAGAGTCAGGACCTCGGTGTAATGTCCCCGTCACTATACCTGGGCATTAGAACCCACACAGAGCACAGGGCGAGTGCCCCCCACTGGTCCCACTAACACCCCTTCCAGCAGCAACTATAGCTCCACAGGAGGTCTCCCATCCAGGTACTGACCAGGCCCAACCCTGCTTAGCTTCAGTGGGTAGCCAGTTGAGAGCTTCAGGATGATATATTGTAAAAAGGTGGCAAATAGTAATAAACAAAGTGAGCAGGGTGTATTATACTGTGGCAAGCAGTTGTAATATTGGCTGCCACACCATGTAACCTGGCCTTTAGACTTCATGTCCATACAGGGAATCAGGTAATTATACATCTTTATTAATAGATGTAGAATTTACTGCTTAACTGCACATAATGTATTATGTGACAATGTTCTGTGTCAGAGAGTAGCAATCTTTCAAACCCAGCAAACTACTGCCTTTTACTGTTTTGTATTTAATAACAGAGTGATAAATCACACATTACTGTGTGCTTGAGATGTATAACAAGGCACAAATTCATTGTTCTCTTTCATCCACAACAATTATGCAACTGAACAGACCACCTATTACCTTACCTTTAAAAAGAAAAGGACAAATAATCTATGTATTTGCCAGGCATACTTCCTTTAAAACATTTTACAAAAATACAATACAGAGTTTGCTAGGTCAAAAGGTCTTACACTACAGTTACTACATAATTTACTTTTCTCTGTTTTAGTCAGTAATATATTCAACACTGCTTCAGCTATACAGTATTTAATATCCCGCTGTTCATGCTGGTATGCTTAAAATCAGTGTTCCATGTGAACTGCTTCAGGCCTGTAGGTCAGTAGTAAGTTTGCTCCTTAGAGACAGCAATGGAAGTGCATGAGATCAGCTGAAGAGTTTAAAAATGTCTAAAGAAGCATGAAGATGTTAAAGGTTATTTCATATTTTGGATGTTATTTGCTTTTCTGGGGAGAAAAACAATTATACATTGATTCTGAGAAGACAAATTTACAACTACTTTAACTGTAGGTACAATCTGATTTCCCTGAAAAGAAGAAACCATATTTATTTAGTAAAACATTAAAGATTCCTGATAATGTGGACCATTGAAACACAGGCTGTGTATCAGTCATTATGCACTTAATCTTTTGTATTGTACAGTAAGCATTTTTTTTTGTAAAGGCATTACTAATGTAAAGTATTCAATTATATATATATATAAGTCACTATTTGTTCATGTATAAAAATCTTTTTACAAAAATATTTTTAATGGTGGCAGAGTGGAACAGCGGTTAGTGTTTCTGTCTCACAGTGGGACTTGGTGCTATCTGTGTGGTGTTTGTGTGCTCTCTCAGTGTGTGGGTTTGCTCCAAGTGCTCCAGTTTCCACTCACAGTCCAAAGACATACTGGTAGGTTTATTGGCTTCTGTGAAAATTGTCCCTGGTGTGTGTGTGTATGTGCCTTGTGATGGACTGGTGTCCTGTACAGGGTGTATCCAGCCTTGCACCTGTTACTTGGTAGGATAGTCTTCGACTCCCCAATGACCCTGTATTGGATAGTGGTTAGAACATGGATGGATGGAAAATTCTGACATTCATATTTACATGAATATAGATAGAGAACTTCTTTATACAGTATCATATCTTTATAAACTATAAACTCTTTATGGCATTTTGATGTATTAGTGGCTTTGAGTATTAATTACCATGCTTACCCAGATAAAAAAAAAATATTATATGATTTAAACTGAAATTATTACTTAAAAAGACAATTTTCACAAGACATGAGGGGGTAAATCAGTTTATCAAAGTTAAAACTCAATTATTTTGCTACTGTGTTATTCATTGTAAAAATAAAATATTAATAGTAGTAGAGGATGAAGTAGTAGTACTTTTCAAGAATCTAATTTAAGGAAAAAATATTTTATGTTCAATTTTTCTACCAAACTACAATTAGTCAATTTCAGCATTGCTATTGTCATTCCAATTTTAAATTTAATTACACTCCACAGTTCTTAGTTTATTTAAAAACTATGTCAATCTCAAAACAATGGCTTTTGAAATTCTCTGCTGAGTACTTAATATTCAATGGAAAAGCTGATAACAAAAAGGACAATACGAAAAGTGCTAACTCTGAATTGAAAGGTAGGGTTTGTTCATGTTAAGAACAAAAAAAAAATGGTTACATCAAGCTAAAACATAATAATGCAAATGCAAACTTACACAGGCTAAAATGGGTTGCTGTAGCATTTTTTCAATTTTGCAAAATGTCCTCCATATTCATAAGTTTAAATATGTGCCAGTTATCAAAAGGAAATAAAAAGAAAGACACCCTATCAGTGTTTGTGTTTTATAATGACCTTTGAAACATAAAATATGGCACAATGTATAGAATATGTGTGCTACTTATAAACAGACTTTACAATTTCACATAGAGTATTTTGACATGGCAAGCGTATACCCAAGAAGTGTTTCAAATAAAAATAATTTCCGGTATCTGAAGTTGATCACTCATTATTTGATTCCACACTACTCAGAAAGATAATGTATAAAATGAACAGCTCCTGTGTACATCTAATGCACAGACAGATGCATTAAGTGTTTCTGCCAAATCTTTTATTAGCATCTCATTTTTCACTTTGGTGTCTCAGCCACAGAGTATGCAGTATATGTGATATTCGGGTTTCTAAGCACTCTAAAACACAGCCTATTCTGTTTGGTTAGTCATTTGATTTATTATATTGTGTAGGAGGCCAGAAAAGGTTCTTGTCAGTTGCATGTTGAGGAATATGACAAAGAATGACACTACAAAGCAGGGGTAATAACACTGAAAAAATAAAGAAAAAATCTTTTTTTTTAAGGAGAGTTTTCATCTTTTTATTATTTTTATGTGTAGTGTTCTGTTATCCCCAGTTCCATAGCTATTTCAGTGTTCTAAGTCACTCATGAGCTAGGAAGACTGAGGATAAGAGGCCTTTCTCTGATCTCACCAATCTTTCCAACAAGTGTAATCCTGCTTTATTTCTGAGCTGCTGAACCCAGAAGGACATAGCGCAGCTTGGCCAGTCTCCATTGTGCAAGCAGTGCCTTTGTGGGACTCACTGTAGCATGCTGAGGCAAACAATTCTTAGGTGATATTCCCTTCCTGGCCCACTGGAGCACAAACACCAATACACAGCACCCTAGGCAGTCCAGGCCAAGGATTTTAGAGTAAATACAACCAGAGATCAAATGGCAAAATCAAACAAGCTTTTGATATCATTCTCAATCATCAAGGGTAAACATATATCTGTTATAAAAGGTGGCATTAGCTTAACAAAATCATTGGTTTGCATAGTGTAGGAGAATTTAACCCAGGCAGTGATTTGAAGCCTTTTTCAGAAGTTCAGTGCTATAGTTTACTTATGAAATATGGCAATAAAATTATTTTAAATGCACAAAACTAATAAAAAAGAGGTGCTTAATGTTTTTAATTCCTCTGCTGTGTAAGATCTTAAATTTTCTTTCA